GATGACCGTTGTGCGGCTACGGGAGTTTCGCTGACAACAGTACAATTTGATTTGGACTTGATTTTAGATTCTGCAATAAAATTAAGCAAGGGAATATTAAACAAAGACATATTTTTCATGATATTTACATCATGTATACCTTCCTCGCTGCTTGAAGAACTCATTTCTTTCTTCCGTTTTCTATCCACCTTACTAGATTTTGCCTCATTCTCGTCTGATAACAACAAACATTTTCAACCAACTATGAAACTCRTAATATGTWACATTAAAAAAGTTRTATTCTGGTCCTGTGTGACTGGCCAGATTGGCRTGTTTTGGAGTACAGATAGATAATGATAAAAAAGTCCAAACGTCCAAAAATGTATAGACTTTAATAATTAAAGTCTTACCTTTCTTGGTACCTTTATTGACTTTTTCCTTTCTAAATACAATAAATGATAACACTGTTACTAATGTTACTAATAAATCCATTTAGTAAACATCTTCAACCTTCATATGAACAGCATACAATTGTAACAGCAATATAAGAATAGGGCTTCACAGCCATTCAAGATGGTTCCTCCATCCAAAACCATTGCTTTGAGAGAATGCAGGTGCCTTTGCAACAACCATAACCTTGAAAAGGACATAAATTCACAAGAAACTTCAAAATAACTCACTTGTTTATACTTTTCTTCTTGCTTGTAGATTCTTCCTGTTTGTCTTTTTTCTTCTGTGAAGCAAGTGAACATGATATTAAAAAAAATTAAAATATGTTACGTTAAAAAATATGTCGTATACCTTTCCTTGCAACTTCTTGGGCTGAATRTCTTCTGCAAAAAAGTAATAGATYAATTGCTATTTTTGCTTTGATTCATTCACTTCTCCATCTATTTAGTCAAGTCAAATAATAATACATAAAAAAGTGGAAAAGAGTGGTAATGAGTGGTAATGAGTGGTGGCAAATGCCCTTGCAAAAACTAAYGATTAACGATTCTTAGATTCTTTGAATTGAGCCCACAACTTACTATTACTATTGCTACAATGTGTATTCATAGAGACTAATATGTTGAATAATTCTGATACTTAAAGACCAATATTACTAAGAAATCCAGAAAGAGTATTTTTAGACTGCATTTTTAAAAGGTGTACTACTTGCCTTCAGAGTCTGAATCAGACGCTAGCTTGGTGAGCTTTTTTGGAATTGGCTCCTATGCAAAAATAWATAAAAAATGATTTACTAAAGCTTAAATGTATTCCAATTTCTAAACTATTGAAAAGAATTCAAAGTATAACCAAACCCAAATTTCGAATAGTATTATTGAACGAAATTGGTCAATTATAGCAACCCTGCATTTTTGGTGATTTGTAGTTTTAGCACTAGMGACACCTACCTCATCCTCATCGTCTGAAGAATCTAAGTTTCTGAAATACAAGAAAATAAACAATTTGAAATGGAAAATAGCAGAATACATAGAAGAAGGGAACAATATGRCATGAAATGGCAGCATAATGCTGATATTTGCTTATTTTTCTTATTTTAAAGACATGCAGTAATAGAACGTGCCTGCAAAAGGAAGATCCAGTAAAATAGTCATAGTAGTCTACTTAATGCAATTTCTGTGCTGTTTTAAATAGGCCAGGAATGCTTTTATTGATAATATATGACAGTTGATTATATGTACTATGAAAGAAGAAAAAGAGTGTAATTCAAATATCCTACTTGATTCTTCTCCTGTTCTGTTTACTTATTTTCTTGTTCTCTTTGGTTTTATTCTCTGGTGTCTTCTTACTTTCCTTTTTATGTTCTGGTGTTGTTTTACTCTCCTTTTTCTTGCTTTGTATCTCTTTAGTTTCTTTTGGTGCTTTTTTGCTTTCATCTAGTTTCTTTGAAGCGTCCTTACTCTCTGAAGGCTTCTCTTTTGTCTTTTCAGTTTCTTTCCTTTTTTCTGGCGATTTTTCTTTGATTTTTTCTTCTTTTTGTCTGTGTGTTTCTTGGTTTCCTAATTGATATGAACATAAATAAAGTTGGTGTGATTAATTCCTGAGGGTAAGGTCCATTGCTTTGACAGGGAGTGTAACATTAATCACTGTTGTCAAGCTTTAAAATTCATTTGCTATACTCCGGACCCTCTCAAAATTCTATGGATTTCTAGTCCTTACAACACTTACCTGATACCGGTTTACCAAAAAATGARAGCATACTGCCACCTTGCTTGGAAACCTTAGTTGATTTTGATTTCTTTTCTGGGTCATTAGATTTATCTTTACTGGTTTCACTTGTCTTTAGTTCCTCTTTCTCCAATKTTACATCTTTCTTTTCCTCTTTTGCTGCAAACATGCCCATATTCGGAAGTTGTCCTTTTTTAGATTTTTGATTTGAGCTCTGTAAATTTTTGAGATAACATCAATTTATGTGACAATGAATGTAATATTGGAAACAAACACAATCATTTTTCTTACAAATAGAGTGGATTTTGTATGACTGTGCAAAGGCAATAATTGACATGCAAGACATAATCACAGAACCTTGCCTACTGGTGACCCAAATGACAATTCAAGACAACCATRAGAGCACAGTACAATCCTGAAAAGTGCCATGTTTTTTGCACAGTAATGTAAAATCTTTAAACTTTAATTCATACATGTAYATAATATTTTTCATACTTTTGGTTTATCAGAATTGTTGGAGTTATGCTTTGTTGAACCTTAAAGAAAACAGAACAAAAATYGCMRAAAGTGAGCTGTTTATCTATGAYATGTAGGCCAATGGTCCAGKGAAAGTATAGTGTAACACAGTRCGTAACCTTYGTAATTTTTCAAGCGAGTGGTAGATAAATTAATAATGACAATACCTTGGCCATTGACAATACTTGTTGATCCAGCTGGGTTAGAATTTTCTTTTCCAGATTTTCCTTGCAAGTGACCTCTGTTTACCCCACCATCACTAAATGGTGTGGCTTGTTTACAGTAAATATGATTCCACCTTTTTGCAACAATTAAAATTATCAATATATATTCTATATTATAATTTTACTTAAATTGATTTAAAAACATAGATCAATACCTGTTTGAGTCATCTTTGTGTTCTTGTTGGATGTTATAGTCTACTGTATAAAAAGCATTACTATCCTGAAAAGAAGAGCTACGTTATAACAATAACATTATCGATATGCAAGGTGCTATTTGGAGATTTGATGCACGCTATAGAGTTACTCAGAGAAGGGGTTCAAACATATATCAAAGAGTTACAGTCATRAATAKTAACTTGCATCATTCACTCACCTTTGGTTTGTTTTTCTGCAAACTATATACATGCACTGAAGTTACGATATCAAAACAACTTTTTGTATCTACAGAAAGGTATTAAGAGTCAACTTCGCYTTCAAAGACAATGCTCATTAATATTTTTGTTGCTTAATTTAGGGATRTTTTTTTAGGTTATGTTAGGTTTATTTCCTCTAGCACTTTGACAAAACATGAGGGTGAACTTGCATGAATGACAAAAAGTCAGACTACAGATAAAAAAACCCAAAATGGCACTCACTTACCATCAAGATTAGTGTCATTTGTCAATATAAATTGTTGAATCTGAAATGGATTTAGATAATGACATCACATACTTTGCCTGTCACACATATTTCATCATACGCCAAATTTTGTATATTACAACTTGATTTTATCAATAATTATATTTATTCATATTTATCAATATTTTCATTACATGTGTGTTAATTGATAAAAATGAAAAGTAAAAGAATGAAAATGAAAGTAAAWGTGGAAGTGAAATTAAATTAAATAAGAGTCATAAATGCAATATTTGCAACAAAATATTTACTCATTCATAAATTAATTCATTTACTTTTTGTATTTAAAAATACAGTGTTTACCATTTCATCATCGATATTGCATCTTCCTCCAACAAGATAGGTGGCCGAAATATTGTTAGCATTYTTGTCTTCTCTTTTCTTGACCAGATAGGAGTACAACATTCTAAATGCACGAAATGAATATAAATAGTAAACTTAAGCTTAACCAGATTTTCATCATTATCTTCGTAAAGAAAATACACAGAAGTAGCTGTCAGTGTCTGCTTATAGAACTMACTGCTTAGCTTGATTCGACGACACGGATAAAGTCCTACTGAGCCATTTGTATGTGACCTAAAAAACATCCAAGACACAATCAATATAWTTTTTTTCATATATAATAATCATATCAATCGTAAGAGCTTACAATCCTGTCCTCATCATTGATAAACTCCTCTAAATTTTCCAGATACAGTCCCTCTTCGTCCTCCATCTTGTTTATCTGCTTTCCCGCCAAAATGAAAGCGAAAGCTGCGCATGCGTAGCTCTAGGTACAGCTGAGATTTTACCACGTCTTAATCTTCTTCTTTCTATAGCTAGTTCTTCACGCATTTATGTTGTTATAATAAATTATAATTGTCCAATAATGAACACACTAGCTGTTAAAATCAAAATTTGTCCCTTTGAKATTTTTTCTAAATCCCGCGAAAATCCCGTATTTTGACGCATTCTGGGTAATTCATAAATAYCATTGCATAACGACATCTTGCATAACAACAARCATGGCGGCCGTGGCAAGTGTTGGTCAGTCAGTATTTTATAAAATTGCTGGRGTTTCTGGTTTCTTTGCCGTCATAGCTGGTGCTTATGGATCCCACGGTRAGGTTCTAAACTCGCGATGTAATATATACGAAGATGTACTTGTCTATTACTACATTGTCCTATAACTACGTGACCTGACCAGAGCAATTCATGTTCCCATTCTTTTGATTTTGCGAGATAAAATGTTTAGCCTGTGCACATCTATTCCATTTTCAGCTCCTTCACTCAATAAGCCAGAAGCAGTAAAATATAAAGAGGTAACTTGTGGAATTCGAGTAAACCATACAATGTCCTTTGATACCACCCCCTAACTTTATCCTCCCAACTAATATTTACTACTATATTTGAAGGTAATGCAAACTGGCAACCTCTACCATCTTGTACATACAATAGTACTTTTAGCTGTTCCCTTTGCAAATAAACCAAAACTGGTAAGCTGAMCTTAGTATTGTTACAATTTCTGGACCAATAAAAAAAATTAACTTTTGTTGTTGAAGAAAATCTCTTGCTTTTTCTGTAGGTTGGTGGTATATTTGTCACTGGCATGACTTTGTTCAGTGGAAGGTATAAACATTTTTCAGTCAACATTTGTGGCATAGAAAACGTCCTACCCTGTGAACAGAGATTAAGTTTAATTATGTTTCCTTTTAGCCTTAGTTTCATCCAGCGTTATAATAAACGGCTGTACACACAAGCTAGTTTCCCTTCTGTGAAGCAAAAAAAACTAACTAACTTGGTATAAGGTGAAAAYAAACTGTCTCTGTTCACAGGATAGCACTAACAAAGGTTAATTTTAACAAGTGGGGGAGATTAGAGATTTCATTTGTGTGGATGTAACATTCTTTGACATGTTTTGCAGTGCTAATCTGTTGATTTCCATGCATTTTCCTGTTTCATTTCAATGTACAAGATATTGCTGTTACAAATAACAAGTCTTTTTGTTGTCAATTTTAGCTGTTATGTTGTTGCATTGGCACAAAACAGAAAATTAGGAAGACTGGCACCAGTTGGAGGCACACTATTAATGGCTGGATGGCTAGCTTTCTTGTTATGATTGTAAATAATGTCATAAATAGTGTAAAAAATAATGTTATCATAAACAAAAATAAAATATGTGTTAAAAACAAAACTAGAATACTGATATCTATTGACCAAAATATACATGAATGTTCATTTATTAAAAAAYATTTTATCCTATTACAATGACAAATTATTAAATAAGTCAAACACATTCACAATAAAGTCCACATGCAATGCATGAATAAAATATTATCCTTTATAGTCCTTTCCCCTAATGACAAGCCTGAGATGCACCATGGGGTTGATGAAAGTACAAACTGACATGTTATTCAGTTTGCATTAGTCTTGGGACGTTTTTTAAACAATGAGCATAAGTTCTTTTCACAGACACTTCTTTTGACATACTCAAGTAAGAAGTCACTTATTGTAATTTCTTCCGAATGATTCTCAACTGCCAATATCAGAAGTTTTGCAAGGAAACTTCATTCTTTACAGCTGTTTTWAGACATTCACCATCTTGATACTTTCATCACTACCATGATGCACTTTGCCAGAACACAAACGTCACTGGGCTAGRCAAGCACATGTAGAACTGTTTGGTATCATGATCTCAGTGTTTGTATACAACAAAGTGAAGGTCCTGTGGATAGTGGATGAAGTTATCCATTTTATATGGATAATTATTATCTGTTGAGCGAATATTTATCCAGTGAATAGTGCTATTTGCCCTTCAAACAACCAGCCCAAGTACAATATAGTTGTTGCTTGAATCCTATATAAACTGTGTRTATTAAACAACATGACATCACAGGTTACCTTATAAAGCTTTCTATAATTCGTTGAATCCTATGTAACCTATTATTACCTGTAGCTCAAATCCTATAATGAGTCACCTACATGTGATACTAGTAGAGACTTCCTTATTATTTCATCTAGTGAAGAGCTTCAATGACATTCTAGTTCAAACTGATGTTAAGTCACTTCATTATTAGCTACAAAATATACACTCATGTGTATGAAAAACAATCTGTATATTTAATTAAATAATCTTATTCTGAATATGCCAATGAAAAACTGTACAACATATAGACATCAAAACACTATCCATAAGTACGCCAAATGGTACACTTTTGTACAAAATTAATATTTAAGAATTGACTTTTCTGTCATAAGACCCCACCCAGTCTACTATCAAGTTTATTCTTTAATGTAAACTAATGCCTGCCAAGATATACACTGTAAATCAAAGCTCTATCATTTCTGTAAATTTAAAACAAATAATATAGTTTCAAGTTGTACTTTGAACTTGACCCAAGTTTCACTCATGACTTTCAGAAGCAAGTAGCATAAAGTGTTAGATAAAAGGTCACTTTCACACATGGATAGTCAGTTGACAAACAACAAACAGTTGRYGTGTGCTCTTTGTGACAGTTCACTGTAAGACTTWACTATCAGCTTTGTGCATCCAAGTCTTCTAGGATACCAGGTGCTGGAGTAAATATCTGGTCAGCCTTGCGATGAATGAAATACACCAGGACAAACGAGAACAGTGTCATGACAATCCCTGATGCTAATGTAACAGCCTAAAWAAATAATTATAAAGCAAAAARATATCTAAATAATAATCCCAAGAAGTTATTGAAAAAATTGTACTTCCTTTCACATTAGAGTAAATTTAAACAAAGCAGTGCATTGATGGGTCATGACATATTATATGGGATCAAGGATCAGGACTTTAACTTTGGGATCAGGATCAACTGTAAAATGTTTTCAGGATGAATGTTTTGGGATCAGGATAAAATTGAAAAGAAATTTGAGATATGCGCCCAGACGTTTGGCTGCAAAAAATGGGATCATGAACAAAAAATATACCCTGTCATCATCCTGCTTTGACCAAGTTGCAATGAGCAGAGCGATCTTTTCGTATTAATGCACATGCATTGCACCTTGAATTTTGAGGTCAATGCTTTTGTTCATGGTAAAAACCTRTGGTTGTGAATTACTTACCTGACGTTGTGGACTAGAAATAAGAAACATGCGCACTGACAAATCTGCATTCCACCTGGACAGAAAAAGAACAAGTTGTCACAAAGTATTCTGACTTGCACCAAGAAACRTCCCGATTACATTACAAATTTAACATGACTTGCATAATTTATGTATACCACACAGTAACTGTTTTAATTCAGCTTAAATACTTACACACTTTCAGCCCAAGTCGAGTATTCTGTAGAGTTATACTGCTCCAGTTCAAATGCAGGAGATTCAGCCAAAGAGTAGTACACAGTTCCATTTGCACACATTTCTTTAGAGTCATTACTATTTCCAAGCATCTTATACAGAGTAAATGGCTGTGGGTGCAAAGAAAGAGCATACACTGTATAATAGTATATAAAAAAGGGAATGTAAATGCTATCAAAACATTTATCTGATGGTTTCACTTTATTCAATGAATTTGATATGACTTACCCCATGCGATTCACAAGATGATGATGTCTTTAGATGGTATCCAGTGAAGTACAATAACAGGTTATGCGTTACTATAGTGAGAGTATTATTGGCTGTATTGACACTAACATATCTTGATATAGCTCTAGATGCTGTGTGGCAAACAAACAAAAACATTTCATGTAACAAAAAAAAAACAGATTGAGAAATTAAGTTTAGATGCAAACCATACACTGACTGAAACACCCTAGTTTCTTTTTTGATAACCAATGTCTTAAAGCATATATGGTTTAGAAAATGCAATTATCTACAGTCTATGTATGCATATACATTAGCGAAAGGGGTTCTATTCAAATTATTTGACACGACCATTTATTCTTCCCATTCGCCAATAGCACAAGACTTTAAATTTATCCAATAAAATACAATTTCTGTTACTACTACCTACTATGTACTTAAGGAGTCAAAAAATGCAATAACCCGAGAAAGGTTTGCAATGAGTTTTAAAACACTTGGAAAGACCTCATTTCCATGAAGAAGTGGTTTTAACATGATATGCAGCTCTCATGAAAGTCATACTAATTGAAAGTGAGGTATGCTGTGCATCAATCAAAAGACTCTAACATAATATATTTGTAAACTGCATTGTATAAAATTCATATAAGGAAAGCTGCTGAGACCAAGATAGACAACATAAGAACTTACGTAAAGATTTTCCCATTTTGGTATTAAATGCTTCCTTATATAAGTCACAATTTGCACGATAGAAAGAACAATACACAAGATGGCCAATCTAAAACATTAACAAATTATTATTGAGCTGACAACTTAATCTTAATACAGTTAACATTGGGGRAATGTTTGAAGAACATCACTAAGAGATATGATGTAGCTGTGGGAGATGATTTTTTCTGATCATTATGATAATGGCAATAATACTGACAAGATAACATGAATAACAATTGAACCTATAATATCTGTACATACCAAGTATTCATTCACTTTAAGCTCAGTTTTGGGAGGTTTGCCATCATTGGCCAGKGTGTACAATGTGTTGGCAAGAGTGTTTGCAACATGAGTTAGCCTCTATTACCAAATGAATGAAAGATTTCATCAGAGCAGGATAACAATTAAGATAAGTATGATAAATTCTAATTAACCAGATTTTGCAGTTAATTATTAACCAGATCTCAGTTGTGAAGCACTGAATCATGTCATGAGATATACCAGAAGTCATTATTCCCCAGATGCACATTGTCAAGTTCAAATACAAGGATTAAATATACTATTATCTTTAACATTATTATAGTAATAATAATTGATAGCATATTTGCTACCTTTGTAAAGGTATTGCTTAGATATATCCTGGAATCATTATCGCTGGTGAAGTTGCCTTGTACATTGTAAGCATCATCAAAACGACTGTTGTAATATCTGTAATTAAGAAGGTACAAATTAAATCAAAGCTGCTAATTTTCAAGGGGGGACTCCCTAATAAAAAAGGGCAGGGGTCCTCGTCGTCCCTTTTAGGGTTTGAAATCAGTGTTTTGGTCCTGCTTAGGGTGATAATGATTAGAAATTCCCACCAACTGAGTTTAGTGGTCCCTTTTAGGGTGTACGACGACCCTAAGCCGTCATTAAATGACAGCATCATCATAAACTCAATATGAGCCAAGGGTGTTTGATGCTTGTGCAAAACACAAATGAAATCAGGAAACCAAAACAAATTGACCCTGTTATTGATTGGTCCCTCTAAGGGGTGAAAATTTCAGCACTGACACGTCCATTTAGGATCATAATATTGACCCACAGGAGGACGTCAGGTGATAGAAGCCAACTAAATCTATCAAGCTTACTTGTTACTGAATTCTTTCTGGTGATCTGTCAGCACAATTCCWGGAATCTCTTTGTTTGATCTTAAAAACCTTTGAAATGATGCTGGAGGTAAAGGCTGGGATTTATCTGTTGATGCCTCCTTTACTGGCACTGAAGTGTTCTTACTRGCTTTTTCTAATTCATCAAATAAATGTTTCACCTGTGTTTAAGGATATTGTACAAATTATTTGTGATGATCAGATGCATGTACATGTACATTCAACTTGAACGTTTTTTGTAGACGTAAGTTTTATCTGTTCATTGACAGGTTTTATAGATCATACAATATTCATTGCAATGTCTATATATAGCAGATGAGGATATCACTTTTTTTTTTCGATTATCACATACATGACAAAAATGATACTGATGAATACCGATGACAATGGATCCTTTCCTTCTCTGTTGTTACCTTTTCGTCMACCTCTTTTGTCTTTCTTGATATAGGATCAGAATGTGCCCACAATGGCCCATCACCTAAGCCTACTTGATTGAGTTCTATGAAGTATCCAATGTGRGACGTTTTCAACTTCAGATCTTTTGTGGTTCCATTAGACTTAACCTAAAACATTCAATTATAAAACAATGGATTAATTTTATAAATAACAAGTCATATATTAAAAAAGATTAAAAAGCATGTTCACTGGGTACAATGATAAGTAAAACAAACAAATATATTATGTAGTATGTACCTTCCATGTGTTGCTTGGAAATCTGTCTTTATTCATATCATAGACCATTCTTGAAGAACCAATGTAATCCCAACTTTCCTAGAAAAAAGGAATTGCAGGATTAAGAAATTGCCATAGACACTGAAAATAATACTTGATACTAGTCCTGATATGATCCTGGACGATGATGCCAACAATAAGGATAAATATTATATTACATTTAGTACCATTGTGTTATTGGACTACACTTCTCAACTCACCCCTTGAAACAAGGTAAACATGATTGGTTTCTTGGGAGGTTCTTCTGTTCCCTAAAAAGAAGAGGGGTTTGTTACATTTTTATCAGACTTCATCAATGATGAGCAACAAGTTTCACCTACATTTCTCTTCATATCTCCAAGAACTCTAGCAGCAGCAAGGAGAGCAATAACACCAGATGCRTCATTGTCAGCACCATAAACAAGGTCATGGAAGAAAGAACTTGAATCAAGCTGAAAACAATGTGACAACAGGGGATGGTATTCAAAAATCATCACTACTTTCCACAAAGAAATATTATGTTATTCCACCTTTACCTTGGCTGCTGCTACAACAATGTCTCCTTTCTTTGGTTCTTCYTCCATTGGGTAAAGTGTACCCCATACATTGTAGTCACCAAGAGGATCACAAAACTGATCTACAGATTAACATAAACCACATTATCAAGCACTTAAATGGTTAAGATTTTGTCACATGAAATGCTGACTTGATTTATTACAATTTAGGACAGTAAACCTATAAGGGACATGAAACGTGTAACGCCCGTACATTTCTTCAAGCATTTTCTTCAAGCATCGGAATATTCAAAGCTCATTGCAAAGCAAATTTGAAAACATGTTGGATAAGAGATCGAAGGCCTGTTCTGGTTGGCTATAGGATTAATTTAATTGTTCCAAATAAGGAAATGAGATGCAAATTAGATTTGAATATTCCATCGGTTAGCTTGGCGTTACACATTTCAAGTCTCTTATATGTTTCTGAATAGGAAAAGCTGATTAATACAATATGATTTGTCATGTGCAACTTCAATGGACAGGATCCTTCATTGGAATATGTCTACAACGTTACTATATGCACTCTACAACTTGTCTTAATCTTTAGAACTTAGGCTCAAAATCTTATGACATGTCATGACCATGGTGATAATAGATGTCAACTTTATAAATTTGCCTTTAAGACAAAAAAGACCACTGAATGTAAAATTTCTCTTAAACAAAAAATCTCTCATGTGCTTGAAAAATACTAATTACAAAACACAATATATTAAATATAATTTTTGCTATTGATGCACTATATCCTTACTTTGGGTGGGGTTGGGTACTTTTGATTTTCTAATACACGTAGGAGTGTCTTTTGCTGCAAACATGAAGTCCTTCAGCTCTACTGCACACAATGGGTAGTCTGGTACACTGCCATTGATTGGTTGATTATTATCCCTATAGCACTGAACAAGTGTACAATAAATTATCATATTGTACCCAACCATGTATGTAAAATAATAACGAATGAAAGTCATTACAATTGGTGTGCAGATTTACAGATTTGATCTTTGAGTGTTGAAGAGATTAGGTTTCAAAATGTAATTAGTAGTGTTACAGAATGTAATCAAGTAATTATTGAATAAGAGCATGCAGGTCGATAATGGATGGAGAGTTCYCTAGGGTGATTTCCCATGCTGAGTATAAATTGTACAAAAGTGTGAAGAATTAGTCATTCGAAGACATCTCATATAGTATACCTATATGCTGAGAGCAAATTTCAAGTTTTATATTTTCAAAGTAGACTATAATTGGGGTGTGAAAAGTTAACTATTAAACTATCCTTTATTACTATAATAATCATTAAAAAATATAATATTCATATAACTATAATTATAATTGCAATTAATTACCTTGATAAGTTCATTTATTTCGGTTTGATTGTAAAGAGCAAATATTGGTATTCCATATGATTCAAATGACATGCCATTGCCCTACAAAATACATACAAACAAAATATTGAATTCCTAAGTCAAGATCTTACGATCATTTGAAACGCAAACTGAATGGCCTATATCATACCCCTTCATTCCATTTGACTTTATTACATGATCCATACTCAGTATTTCCATTGTACATACCTTGAAAATAAATAACATCCCTGTAAYATTATGTTCTGAACTACGGTGAATAGATGACGTAAGTGAAATGATTGTTGCATTGAAATAAACAATCTGTGCCACTAATAATAAATAGATAGCACGGAAAAAAATTGGTCTTCAACGAGAATCCCATGACATCTGAGATGCCAATGCAGAGCTCTACCAACTGTCAAGCTATCAAGGCAACCATAATGGTGAGCTGTTATTTATCTATAAGTTCTTGAACTCCACTACACAAACAATATTGTCTAGATAACATGCAAGAATATAAAATGCACTGTTATCATGTGTGMGCCAAAAGTAAAGAATACCCAAATAATTCAAACAATTTGTTTTGATTTTTGACAAGAAATTAGCTAATTGTTGACATAAAGAAAACAAAATAGGGTTTTTATTCATTTTTAAAAAGTGGTCTTTAAACTTTGGCAAAGTAAGCAGTTTTTTCTCTTGAATGGTACAATTTACTTTAAAATATTAGAAAGTGTAGGGAGAAAAGTTAGAGGAGTGGGTGGTGAAATTCTCTCTATAAGATATCGTTCTTACCAAACCTATCTTGAGGACAGTCATCAACTGGAGAAAACCCTTTAAAAAGATATAAAAGAACATTATTGAAAAGGAAAAAAACATATATATTATACAACTCACTGAATCATCATACTACTGTTATATAACATTACAGCATTCATAACATTTCTGATTTTTTTTACCTGATTTTGGTGCTTGGCCATCTTTTCCACCATGTATTACCAAAGCCCCACTGATAATCTTTTTATTCACAAGAACTTTAAGAGATGTCCTTTAAGGGATATAAAAGCTTATTTGATTAAAGATTATCATGGTATASATTTGCAAAAATTGGAAAAAGGAAAAGGAAAAGCTGTGGTGGTTGCAAATCGTCCTACATCGCAGCTCAGGTGCTGAATTACGAAGTACACAGATTGACGTGCAAACAAAGTCACTTACTTCTTAAACATTTCAGAAGTAAACAGAGGTATATATGGTGCATGGTCATCATTGTGTTTGATCAACCAATCAACATCATCTTGWGACTGAATATAATGAACAACTCCAACATGGCCACCRAGTGAAGCTAAAATGAAACACAGATACAATTATTGCTGATGATAACCATGTGAAAAATACATAATGACTGCTTCAAAATACAGTCTTTAAGTTACAATGATCATTTGTATATGAATGACAAGGAATGCCTAATGTAGGAAGAGATTTTGTTTTGAGTTCTACTTACATGTACAGCCTATCTGATGGGTTGCATTGGTTAATATCACGCAAGGGTGAATGCTCAATACATCAGAATATATTTTTCCAGCTACTTTATCTGAGTATCCTAAGAATGAGAAAATAAACTCAAGGTAATACAGTTTTAGCTATACCTTTAACTAAGTATCTATCTTAGATGAAGATGTCAAAGAAAGCTTATCAGATTACGTAGAATTCACAATTTCTATATTTCTTTCGGAAGACGAAGGAATGATTTATTGCTACAATGCTTATAAAATCCGAAAAGAAATGAGCTTTTGAATTGATTCCAAATCAATAGTAAAATCTGACAAACACGACGACCTAACTTTATTACGAAAATAATCTTACATTTCTGCAATATAAGGACAATTGAAGCTCGTAATTTCATAAACAACATGAAATTCCGCAAATAAAATCCACAAACAATAAAAAAATATACCTGATTGTAACAGCAAAAACGCTGTCAGAATGATGAACAGAAAATTTTCACTGAGCGTCGCCATTTTGTTTTCTTCCTGTACCCATAATACATTTCAGGATCGACTAAGGTCATAGATAAATTTGTAACTTCCGGTTACAGAGTGTTCGAAGAACTTCCGGTTTCGTACGTTTCGACATTTTGCAGTGAAACATTTTATTGTCATTTTCTATGTGCGTTATTGGTTTTTGAGCAACTCACTTTGACGTCATTGGGTAGGCAACCATCATTCATTACTGCCGTAGCGTACTATAAYATGCCAATCAAGAAAATTGATGGTTCTCTTGAAAACAATAACGTGTTAACACTTCAAAAGTGTCACATTGAGGTGCCCTCGGTCGCTGGAGCAATTTGGCCAATCGCTTTTTTTCTATCTTGGAAAAAAATTGCAGAGGATGAAATAAAGGCAAGGTATGTCATAAACGAATTGGATTTTTTTTATCTTTGCTTTTTGTCTTTAATGAATTGGTTGCAATATAGATATATACATCCTCATTAACACCAAAGTTATAAAACATGATTTTTTTAGTTGATTCTAAGCAGTTAAAAAAATTATCGCCTGTTATTGCTTTTAGAGACTGGGACAATACAGATATGGAAACTGATWCTCTAACATTTTCCCGTTAATCTTACTTTTACTGAACTCCGACAAATATATTACATTCAGAAAGCAAATGTTTTTTCTAAACAAACAGAAAAACTCGGCCTGTTTAACTTCACACGTATTGACGGTATCAGTTGTCTTAATTGCGTTTCAGTAAAAGTTACTATTTATATTTCTTAAGGCTTTTTTAGCTCTTTCCAAGCTTCTTTTTATATTTTTTTACTTTTAGTTCTCTTTCCAAATTTCTATTCTTTCGTTTTGTCTTTTCTTCTTCTTTTCATTTCTTCTTCTTTTTCTCATAGTGGAAAGTAAACGTTTGAGAAACGCACGTTTAATTTAACTGCGAAACATTTTTTAGTCGCGGGYGYGGAAATACAGTAMAGCCACGTTATCAAAATGAATATTAGCTTTTGCTACCCGCAGTACATGATGAACTAACTGAAAGGTTTATGATTCCTCGTGTTCTTGACACTCTTTTCTTTCCATTAGATTGAATTTACAGAGTTGTGTCGTATTGTGTACATAAGGAGAGTTGTAATATGCTTAAAGGTTTGTGTTTCCCATTTCGGTCTACTTGTATATCCGTGTTTGGCAATCTGTTCCAAATTTGAATACTTTTCATGTGATTGTATATTTAAGATTCACTATTTAGTGTTTTTTATATCCTGTGAATTCTTTTTTTCTTCAATTGCGTGCTCATAATTCATCTGTGGGACTAATATCGAAGCGTCTCTTGTGATGCTTTCCACATCTTCCAATCGGATTGACCCATGATTCCGTCTGAATGTATAGAGCCTCTTGAGAAAAGAAGGCCAACATAAGGTCTTTAGAGGTGTGTTGTAGAACGTTTTTGCCCTGATGTGGTCAAAGATGRGACGTGAAAACCATAGTTCCGATGATAAGCCCATTTTGACTGATTTTAAGGAATGGGTTTAACTTCTTCCTAAAATTCATAATATTTTCATTTTATGAAATGTAAGGCTAAAAGTGTTAAATTGCCAAGCGTAATTACCAAGCTTTTATTATTTGCATGTAGGGTCCAACAATTAGTCTTATCTGTTGTCAGCATTAGTTAAATCCATTCTAATTTGCAGACCTAATTTAAACTTTTTATTGAATAGATATTGTGAAGAAGAACTCAACTTCATAAATTGCGATGGCAGACCCTAAAAAGAAAACAAGCTTACTTACAGTCAAAGCGATGGCAGTATTCGTTGTGGGAACGCATCTTTTACGATTCATGTTCTCGTCTGTGTACTTCAAACAAGTAGGGCTTCCTTCTTCGTACTCGGGCATCCTTCTTGGTCTGTCTCGGATAACGGAGGCACTCGGTGGAGTAATATTTGGATATGCAGCAGATAGAAAAAATATGAGGAATTCCATTCTTAAGTTTTGCTACTTGGCCTATGCGGTCACACCATTTTTGATCACACTCCCACAACCTATGTATACGTCTGCGTCAATGAGACACTGAGTATGAATGTTTCAGAGCAGAACCCTTCTCAACATGCGCCTTGCTACAATCARACAGAACAGATCTGTAACAGCCCAAAAACCACGAAATCCTCAGAAATCAAAAGACTTTTCCTTTTGCTGTTAATCATTGTTGGCTTAGGAGACTTTCTCGGTGGTGCTACAATYAATATCATGGACACCCTTGCTGTGTCATCTATTGAAGACAAGAAGCAGTATGGCAAAATTCGTCTTTGGGGTAACATAGGCCAAGCRGTGACCATACCCGTGGTCGCAATCATCACCTATTTTAAACAGATTGAGATCTGTGGCGTCCTTCAAAGTGATTACCGAATAGCGCTATACGCAACATCGCTGGTATCCACCATTGGATGGTTCGTTGCTATAATCAAGGTGCACATGCCTCCCTCGAAAGATGCAGARGASAAMGAKACTAACAAAGATGAGGTGTCTCTCAAAGAACTCGTTGTACCTTTGGAGATGTGGAGTTTACTTGTTAATGCGTTATTTTATGGTATTTTCACTGGTGCAATATCAGGTTTYCTCTTCTGGACAATGACTGATTTAGACCCAACCCAGGCAAATCTATCCATAGCWGTGGCGAATTTCCTGAGGAACACCACAGGGCTTTTGGTCTACTTCTTTGCTCCAAGATTKCTCACTGCTGTTGGCTACAGAAACATATTGAACGGTTCATGTTTGATTTTTGTTGCAAGTTTTGTTGTAGCATCTTTGATGCGCACCTCGTGGCTTGGAATTGTGGTGGAGGTTCTTTCAAGCGCGGGAAAAGCGTTAGCTATGGCTGCCTGCGTGTCGTATATTGGAGAATTGGCYCAYGCTTCATTAGCTGTTACGGCACAAGGTATGTTTTCAAATGCAAACTGTCTGTATTTACAGTAGAAAGAACGTGCGGTATAACTAAATAGTGTCATCCATGTAAAGAGGATAAGAATATGGAAAATTGGGTGTATGATACATAAAAAAGCTAGGCAAATATATATATATACCGCGGAAGTATAGAGAATATAGAAACTTAAATAGAAAATTATATGGTGTATATGAACGGCTATGGAAAATGAAGATCATTGAGATGGGGTACTGAATGTATATGTAACAGAGTCACACCT